GTGTGTGTGTGTGTGTGTGTGTGTGTGTGTGTGTGTGTGTGTGTTGCAGAATGGGAGTTATATCAAGTGACATCGTTTCCACGTCTTTCCAGGGTTCAGCTAAACTGGAAAAAGCTGAAATTTTGCAAATGACAGTGGACCATTTAAAGATGCTTCATGCTTCAGGTGGAAAAGGTCAGTTTGGTTTTAAGTGTTTTTAGTTTGACTACACGCTGTTAGTTAAAATGTTGATTTGAACCCAGTGTTTTCTCGCTGACAGGTTACTTCGAGGCTCACGCTCTCGCCAAGGATTACCGCAGCTTCGGTTTCAGGGAGTGCCTGGCAGAGACGGCCCGATACCTGAGCGTGGTCGAGGGCCGGGACAGCGCAGACTCCCTGTGGGGGTGCTTGGTGTCCCACCTGAGCACCTATGCCTCTCAGAGGGACGTGCACACCGGGCTGGAGCATTTAGCCTGGGGCTCTAATTATGGGACCACCCCCCATCTCCCACACCACCTCCTTCTGCAGCACCCTCAGGGCCGGACACCTGCGCCCAGAACCAACAGCAGCCCAACCTCCTCGTCCTCCTCCTCTTCTACATCCTCCTCGACCACCGAGGCATCCGGGACATCCAGACTCGGTGTCCTGACCCCGACAGAGTCCCTCAAGGTGGCCCCCGGTGGCTCGCTGCCCCTCGGTCTGCCTGTGCCGTCCTCCAAGCTTTCGCCGCCGCTCGTSTCGTCTCTGTCCTCGCTTTCGGCCTTCCCCCTCTCCTTCGGCGCGTTCCCCCTCATCTCCCCGGCAGGCGTCGGCGCAGCGAGTCCCTCCTCCACCGTGTCGAAGCCTTACAGGCCCTGGGGTCTGGAGATCGGAGCCTTCTGACGCCGAGCGTGGACCGCTGGGAACAGCTGAGCTGTGCCCATCCCGTCAGACAGAACAGGCAGGACTACTTTGTTTTGTTGAGAAGTAGAAAGACAACAGAGTGAAACAAAACTATTTGAAATTATGTTTTTTTTTAAATAAGTGGGGAAAAGTTGCAGGAGGCAACAGCCTTTCTGTACAACATTTACATTAAAAAAGAGTTATTTTTATGCCATGTGTTGACTAATTTTGGTAGCCTACACTGCCTCCAGGTTGAGGACCTACAAAATGACATGAATGAGTTGTGAATGTGTTCACTGTAAGAACAGATTAGACTCTATAGCAGTGGTGTCACTAGGCCTATTTCAGGGGGGCTGGAGCCCCCCTGAAATTTATAAAAAAAAAACTAAATTATTTTG